GTCCGTGTCATGGCGATCCATGAGATAATAAACGAAGCAGTTTAACTATTACGCCAAATTGTGCGTCCTTACACAAGTAAGGCGACCGGTTCAGTATTAGTGCCGATTTTAAGTTCGCGTTATACCCTTCCTCATCATGAAGGCTGCACATGCGCATATGATTAAAAGGGATAACTTGGAATGGTCGAAATTGTGTGGACATCTGAAACTGACTGGAGACAGAAAATCAACCTAGCTTACGAAAGTAACAAATGACCGGAACTGTAGTCGGTTGTAAGGTAAATATTTGTGACATCCTAGAGACGGACCATAAGATTCAAGCAATACCCAAGAAACTTTAAATTAATAAAGTGCGCAATAATAAATGGCACGGCAGCTTGCCAAAGATTACTCAAAATGTGATTACAACGTTTCACGCCTACGACGAAATTACCGAGGGTTTTCAAAAATTCTAGGAGCTAGCCAAGAGTTAATTAGGTAGTAAATTAAGCCTGACTTAAGGAAGGCAAATATAGAGAGCCTTAACCAAGGTTGAATTTCGACTTCAAATAGCGGACAGCAAATCCCTAATTTTGAAGTGCAGACGGGTAAGACTACATTTGTGATGTTTTTTTGGAATTCCTAGTAAATCAGATAAGGATCAGCAGTAAAATTACAGCGCAACAAATCCTAAAGAAAATGAATCTATAAACAAGGTGATCAGATAGTCCCGTTTGGCTGCTGAGGCATGTACAACGACATGGGATGCGGCTGGGGATGCAAATTCGAAGGATTTAGTGAGTTTTGCATTGCCTGCGGATTAGCCATCATGGTGAGTACGGCTTGGAGTTGTGAGGGGTTCTGACTGAAAAGTTGCTGAGCAGCCATGAAGTTTGACTGCGCTTGATACTGATTTGCCAGAAGGAGCTGCTGGGATTGCTGAGCTGACGGGACAGTTAGACCGGCAGCGCTCTGTTGCTGCGCCGAAAGCTGAAGTTGTTGTTGTTGACTCAAAGCACCTGTCTGCTGACCGGGATGATGAACTTGCGAGCCCGGTTGCTGAGGCAGCCCCTGACCAGTCAAGCCAAGTTGACCCGGCCCCATTGGAACAGGGATTAATCCTTGAGGATAAAATCCAAACGCACCGGAGACGCTTGTTGGCTGAGAGCCTAGTAACTGATTTGGCGCATACTGAGCAGAGTAGGCAGCCATCTGCGCAGACTGAGGTTGTACGCTTCCGACAACGTGTTGATAACACGGGTGGAACTGTGAACCTTGAGACTGACTCTGTGGAAGGGAAGTAGGGGGCTGAGAATTTGGTTGGCCTGACTGAATCGGCAACGGCTGTGGTAGGTGCTGATTGTTCAGAATGGGTTGACCAGACGACTGCGAGACCGGGATAGAATTCGACATTGTGGACAGACCACTGTACGACGGGGATGTCAGGGCAGCAGATGCCGGAGTAATTAACTGAAGACCCAGTTGTGGATGAGATCCCGGGGGCACAAATGGAAAACCGCTTGGAGGTTGATGAGGAAACATTTGAAAAGGCACTGTTTGCGGTAACTGACCAGATTGTTCGACAGAACGCTGACGAGTATAGCCACATGTTGCAACATTTGATCGGGCGTTGGTCTTCGACGCAGAGGTCGTACTAGTAGCCTGTTGGGTACCCATTACAGGCGGCTGTTGGGAAATTACAGCGAGTTGTTGGGCTGGAAAAACTGCTCCCTGTGGTTGACGGATTGCTGCTACAGCGGGGATTTGGGATGCGAGTCCTTGTGGGAATACGTAAGAGACCGACGATGGGAGACAGAAAGGTACTGAGGCAGGACTTAGATTCCCGTTAATTATATGTGGTTGACCAGGGACAGGGAACGCTGGAACTGACAATGGTGCACATTGAATGGGTTGTGAAAATCCAGAATTTATGTAAGAGTATGATGGAGCCAACTGTGGCAAAACTGCTGGTTCCGCCGGTGGGAGAGTCATTCCAGACGGTTTGAATTCGGGTGCGTTTGGATCCAAGGTAAACTTCTTCTTTTCTTCCTTTTTAGTCGATGGTGCAGAAGCAGGCTCTTTGGATTCGTCTCCGTCGGTAACTGCGGTTGCGGATGGGAACGAACCATCTGTCGGACGACCCTGAGTCGACTCCTCTTCAGCAGCAACCTCCGTTGTAGCAGAGGAATCAGCGATTTGGTTGGTGGTGGATTGTCTACCAATGTCAGAATTTGCGGACTTCGATTGTTCCTGGCTAGGTGCGGCTTTTGTAGAATAGATTGGACCGCCACTAGGTCTGACGTCAGCCGACTCCCGTTGAAGTGGGACGCGCTGGCCTCCCCTATGACATCTTCGACCGACGCGGGCGTAAGACTTGATGTCGCGACCAGGTTCTCCCTCCTTTAGTACAGCGCTAAACTGCAGCTCCTCATTACATTCTACGTCCTCATCGATCATCGCATCCCAGGCGTTGGCATCGCCCCCAGCCTCGATCTCTTGTGCTATTTTAGCGCAATACTCCTCCTTCGCTTTGAAATCCGGATCGCTTTTATCCAGAGGCATTCTAAACAAAAGGGTAAAGGCACATATGAGGAGCTTACGTGTAGCCTTCCAATGACGCCTGATATGAAGAGGTTACATTAAAACGCTTTTCGTTTACTGCGAACATCGCTTCTGGCGGGAAGGTTTCCTCTGAATTAAGTGAACAGGCTTCTGCCTCATCAACAGAGTGGAAGTACTGCTCGAGGCACGTGTCCGGATCATCCGGCGATGTTAAATGTGAATCAGCGGAAGGATTCTCCTGAGCTCTTTGCTCTGATGCAAGGATAATTAGTAATAAATATGCCAACCTTTCTGACATTCACTAGGGTCAATATTCCGCAGAATTATCTTTTTAATCTCTGATAATGGAATCATTTTCTCTTCATCAATCTCGTACGTCTCAGACGGCGAGTCGTATCGGACAGTCCTTACGCAAGTCAGGCCGAAATTACCCTGTCGCGCCCAGATTATAGGAATTGCAGACACATACATTTGGGGCAATAGCCTTGATTACGCCGGTACATTTGCAACTGCTTGTGTATATTTCGCCAACATTGCCCTTCAGGAAATGATACTAGAGCAGGCGAACTCACCATCATGTAACGGGCCAAATAATAAGTTAGTTGTTGGTTGGCAAACAGACCGACCTCATTACTACACTGCGGTGGACACTGTACGGTCAGCACTATCGACGCAACTAACCTGCAAGTTGTTTGATTTGCTCATGTGTACAGCAGATTGCGGCTTCTTCCTTGTGGCCCTGCAAATAGATCGTTGGGTGATCATTTATCATACCGCTGGTTCGGTTTGGCCATGCGCTTTGGATAGGTGGACATAATCAGGTCTCGTTACTTCGATCTTGGAGGCTTTTGGTACTTTATCCAAAACAGAAGTTGTGAAACCTTCAACAGTTAAACCAGATAGCGTTCAGCTCCTACACTATTTTCGGATATGTACTCCGAAACAACGATTCAAACAAACATTTGTTAGTGTAACAACACAATCCACTCGCAGCTGAGACGTCGGAGTGAATCCGGGACCTCAATGTTAAGCGGAGGAGAAAGGTCCAAAACCTGTAGCAAGACGATAGACAGGCTATCTCTTTCCCCATATCAAGCCTCCCTTTGCTATATATAGTCGTATATATATGACGACTGGACGCAGGTAGTTATTCCTGCTTCCCATCTCTTCCTAACTATATTCTCCCTTCATGCTGAATCCTTATCCCATAAGATTCATTAACTTGAATGTTAATTTTGACGTGTACGTTCCATACAACACCAAATCAGTCATGAATCCAGCAATTTCAGTATACTAATTGTCCTCTTCATATGCTTTAATGCTCAGTCACTTTTCCTGCCCTGTTGAAAAGGGCATTCTCGTATCGAAGGCAAACAGTTAGCTCCCTCTTCACCGCTGCCAGTGGGTGAGAGTTCCCTTTAGTCAATGCCATAGTACGACGGCATGTTGCATCGTTCGGTCCTTTTAGTAATCGAATTCTTTGTGATATTGACTACACGCTTCATTCTGACTTGATGAAGTCAATCCGTACAATATGGCGCACTGCCACCATATCTCCGACCTCATGCCAACGTGAAAATGACTTTCTTAACCGTCTTTTGCGCGAAATCTGATCGTAATGCGTGAAGATAAGATTGAACTAGTCACCATAACAATCATACTTTGTGAACGTTTCAGTCGTTTTAGCGTTTAATCTCTTATATCTTGATCTGGGTGATTTAAAGATAATTTTTCCGGACATATGGCAGTATCAAGCTCAAAATAACACCTCCTCCCTTTCCTGCTTCCCCTTCCTCAACTGGACCTAATTTGTTCGGCGGCTTCAGAGCCCCCAGCCCCAGGACCTACTTTCTACACGGCATACCACTGCAACAGATTGACAGTCAGAAGGACCTGGGTGTATGGATTACATCTTCACTCAAACCAACACTGCACTGCGCGAAGGCGGCTAAATCGACTACGGCCACATTGCAACTCATTAGGCGAGCATTTATGGGATTTGACCCTGACTGCTTTTCCAAAATATTTGGCACCTTCGTGCGACCTCATCTAGAATACGCCATACAGGCGTGGAGACCCTGGACTGCCAAGGATTATACCGTCTTGGAGAAGGTCCAGATACGGGCGACCAAAATGACACAAGGTCTGGGAGCACTGCCCTATGAAACCAGACTGTCAATCCTCAACCTGTTTCCCCTTTCCTTCAGGCAATTACATGGTGACCTTATACTAACATTTCGCATCATCAACGGCCTAGACTGTTGTTTAGATCCCACTGATTATTTCACCCAAGCTAACACGCCCGCTTTGCGCGGTCATCCCCTAAAACTACGCGCAAGGAAATCAAGAACCGATGGACGAAAGTCCTTTTTCAGTAACAGAGTGGTTGCAGCGTGGAACGCCCTGCCTACCGATGTTGTAACCTCCTCCTGTGTGAATTCCTTCAAGTGTAGACTTGACATGCATCAAGCTTCCCAATTACCACCCTCACATCCACTCACATAATCCGGTACCATCTTATACGTGTTTATACTACTTGTAATTGGTAAGTAACCGTTAATGATTACTCTTTTCGACTAGCTGTCAGCTGTCCGCGAGTATGTACAAAATCCCTTTTTCACCTTCCCATTTATTAATGTTTTTCTCCGACGCCTTGTAACCAATAGGGAGTTCACAGGCGCTTACCTATATTTCCCTTATTAATTGATACTGATACTGATACTGATTAAAAATTCCGTGAGTGATCTACAACCAGAAGAGATGAGAACCTTTTCCACGGAAAATTCGCACGAGTCTGTGCAAAAGCCATGCACGGATGGTCAATGGGTAATGATCTACGGAAGCTCAGAGGAGAGCCTCGGACGAAACACTTTTCCCAGAGCTTGACAGCAGCCAAGTTTTGAGTAAAGAGTTCAGCTAAAATTGGAAGTCCCCAGGCGGTAGAGTCTGGGCGAGACAAATCTCAGAATAGTGAACAGAAAAATTATATGCGTACAGAGGCCATTCCTTTGGAGAAAGCTCATTACTCTAACAGCTTAGGAGTGATGGAAAGCAGTTCACCCAATCAGCTCCGACCGGCTTTTGCATTCAATCCCAGGAAGTGGATGCACGCCTGTATGCCGGAACTGTTCGTGCAAAATTGAGATTTTTGTATACCAATGCTCAAAGTCTCGATTCGAAGAGCGACGAAGTCAAGGCGATAGTATCAGAACGAATCCCGAACGCCATCGCCATAGCGGAAACTTGGCTTAGTGCCGAAATCGTGGATGCCGAGATTTCGATACCGGATTACCAGCTCTTTCGTATAAACCGTCAAAATAGACAGAGCGGTGGGGTAGTCGTATATGTAAGGGCAGGACTTTCGGCAGTTGATCGATCCCTCTCCCTTGAGCATGAATCCGTTTTGATAGAGATAAAGAAGAGCAATGCACAAAATCTAGAATTCCTGGCGATTTACAGACCACCAAACCTTCCGAGTGCCGGTGATGAGTCGCTCCTTGGTTTATCGAAGACGTAGCTAGCCACCAACAGCCACTGCTATCACTCCTCCCCCATAGCGACAATTTTCGCGGTTTTCGATGTCATCTCCCGCATTCCGACCTCATGCGGTCTGTCGACGCTCAGGGCTGAACCCTCAGTATTCGCTGTCTTCTAGTAGTTCGGTCGTACCTCCCTTCCCCACTGGTCGGCTGAGCTCGAACCGTGCTGTGGCCGATCGCATCTGGGTTCCTCTCGTCTGGCCTCGTTGACGCGGCGTATCAATCCGGCCCAGACGATCTCAATTGTGAATCCCGTATATAATGCTATATGCAAGCCAGTCCTGTCTGACCCACATTCGTACCCATCAAGGCTGACATTTATTGCTACCCTGACGATGACCGACAACATTCCGTTATATACCGCCACCTACAGGCCAGTCCTGCTCGCTTTTTTCTGTCATCATTTTTATTGAGGGTTTTTTTCTCCTGTAAAATTAATCCAATCATTTTTAACTTTTTGTAAGGAGTTTTTTTTTCACCCCTCAATCATCATGTTTCTCAATGGACTTCTAATTCAGAAACTATGAATTGCATTTTGTAAAGGTTCGGCCTACCTCGTCTAAAACTCGTATGTAAATTTATTTTAATTTGCTTTGACGGGACCCCGACGGGTCTTTAATAAAAATTATCTAAATCTAAACAGGTACTTATTTCCGGGGATTCCAACGCGCCTGCAATAGAGTGGGAAACTATGGCAGTTAACGGTGGGTCAGCTTCTTTCGGAAATAAGTTACTGGACCTCACACTCGATCACCCTGTGGCGTAACATGTAAAGGGCCCCACAAGAAACAGAGAGCGAATTGTCTAGACCTGGTTTTCACTAAAGACTTCTCTAATATCGACGAAGTGTATTCCAATGCGCCTCTCGGGAAAAGTGACCATAATACGCTATTATGGGGTTACTCGTTCTTCTCTCAACGCCAGAAGAGAACAGAAGGCCGACCTTATATATGGCAGGCAGATTTTAACACGATGAAGAACCAATTGATGTCCGTGAATTGGGACCAATTGCTCAGGGAGATCCGGAGAACGACCGAAGATATCTTAAGACCATTTCACTCGATCTGATTCGGCGCTGTTGTCCACCTTAAGAACAAAAAAACAACTAGCCGACCTGCTTGGTTAACTAGAGACCTAAGTAGGCGGCTACGGAAGAAAAGTAAAAGATGGAAAACATCAAGGGAAACTGCGTCATCAGCGGATTTCTAAGACTTTCCCCGTCAATGAATTGCAGTAAAAAAATGTATCCGTCAGGCACGGACGAAGTATGAATCAAAAATTATCCGACAGGCTGAACAGAAGCCCAAGATTATATTTCACTATCTTAACATTAGACTGAAAAAAATTACCCGGTTACAGTGCTGAAGGATAATATTGGTGTAGAAACCATTGAGAAAAACGGGAAAGCCGAACACTTAGGACGGGATTCGGTTTTTATAAGAGAAACGGAGTTTCGTAGTCGCAGTGCCAGCAATGCTGTTGAGACTGCTGGTACCGTGCTTGACTCCATACTCTTCCCGACAGCTGTCGTGGAAAGGGAGCCGCAAAATCTCAAAGAACCAAAGTCCTCGGGTCTGGACAATATACCGGCCAAATTCTTGGAAGAGTTGGCGAACGAACTCTCCAAACCACTGCCACACATCTTTCACTCGTCATTAGAAATAGGAAGGCTGCAATCGGAATGGATGACAGCAAAATCTTTCCGATATACAAGGGTGGGGCTCGTACTAATGCTGTTAAATAATGGAGGCCATAGTGAAGAAAGCAACAATTAAGTTCCTGGAGCAGAACCACTTACTCTCAGACCTGCGTCACGGCGTCAGACAGAACCGCTCGTGCCTTTCCAGTTTACTGCTCTCGACTAAACAGTGGGCTGGCGCACTGGACGAGGATGGTATGGTCGATGTCATCTACACGGACTTCAAGAAGGCATTCGACAGAGTCCCACACAAATGCCTAATTCGCAAACTTTCTGAAATTGGGATAAAAGGAAGGCTGCTGACATGGATAACAGATTTTCTTATAGGGACATCACAAACCGTGTTCATTGAGGCCTCAAGGTCAACCCCCATCCCCGTTCTAAGTTGTGTATCCCAGGGCCCCGTCTTAGGGCCGTTGCTATTCCTGGTTTACACTAACGACTGCGTTGACGACCTGGGATGCAGCGACATCATGTATGCAGACGATGTTAAGCTGTGGAGACCCATCAGATCTGACGCAGACATGTACGCGCTTCAAGATAGTTTTAACCGCCTGAATAACTTGTCAGCTATTTG